AGAAAGAAAGAAAGAAAGAAAGAAAGAAAGAAAGAAAGAAAGAAAGATATCTGAGCAAACCATGGATGGACAGAAGACATGTCTATTTTAAGGAAAAGAAGGATGGGGTGACAAGATAGCAGTCTTCCAATATCTCAGGGCTTCCCACAAAGAAGAGATGTAAAACAAAGATGTTGAGATTTCAGAAAGAGTGCAGAGAAGAGCAACCAGGATGATGAGGGGACTGGAGGCTCAAACATATGAAGAACGGTTGCAGGAACTGGACCTGGCTAGTCTAGGGAAGAGAAGGACCAGGAGAGACAGAATGGCAGTGTTGCAATATTTGAGGGGCTGCCCCAGAGAGGAGGAGGGGGTCCGGCTATTCTCCAAGGCACCTGAAGGCCAGACAAGGAACAATGGATGGAATCTGATCAAGGAGAGATTCCAGCTAGAAATAAGGAGAAATTTTCAGTCAATGGAACAGCTTGCCTTCAGAAGTTGTGGGTGTTTCATAACTGGAAGCTTTAAAGAAGACACTGGGCTGTCCTTTGTCAGAAATGGTGCAGGGTCTCCTGTTCGGGCGGGGGGGGTTGGACTAGATGACCTACAAGGTCCCTTCCAACCCTGTTCTTCCGTTATCTAGCCCAACCCTTGCCGAGTGTAAAAATCCTGCACTGTTGGATTGGAGGAGCTGTGTCTCTTCAACCACACGTTTTCTGCAGCCAGCCAAGATGCCATGTTCAAAACATCTGCTCGGTCTTTACCCCAGCTGGTTAAAGGGATTGACAACCATCTCTTTTTTGCATGTGTGAATTTGCTGCATCTTAATAAGTCTGCAGCAAGGGACTTGGTTTCCCTTGTCTTCTCCTGCAGCTGACGGGGACGTTGAGGCTGGTTTCTCAGGGGCCTCCCTCCCCCTCCCCTCCGATTCCGAACCCCTGCAGAGGCTGGCGGCCCCCCCCCCGTCATGTTTTAATAGCATATTGAAAACACAAGCGGCGTCTTCTGTCTTTTATTTTCATTAAAGCGTTGTCATTTCGCCCCGTTTAAAAAGCTGTCGCTGCGGCAGATGACATGGGCTGGGAGACAGGGAGAATGACAGTGGAGGAAACCATCGGCCTAATCCTACATTACGCCTGGTGTGGCACGACAGCTGAGAGAAGGAAAGGAAAGAGAGGGGTTTTTTGGGGGCGGGGGGAGTTTCCCCTCCCAAGAGACACCTGGAGATTTTGGGGACCAATAAAGCAGAATTATTTGTAGCTCAGAGTTGACATGAGGGGGGTCCTTGGTGCTCTCTGGGCTTGGTGGTTTTCTTGCAGACGTTTCATAACCCAACTAGGTAACATCATCAGTGCTACAAAGAAATGGGGTTTTATGGGAAGGCAGGCAGGAGGAAGAGGAAGAGGAGGAAGAGGAAGAGGAGGAAGAGGAAGAGGAAGAGGAAGAGGAAGAGGAAGAGGAAGAGGAAGAGGAAATGTATGGGGTCTTTGGTGCTCTCTGGGCTTGGTTGTTTTCTTGCAGATGTTTCATAACCCAACTAGGTAACATCATCACTGCTAGAAGGGAGTGGGATTTACGGGGTGGCAGGGAGGAGGAGGAGGAAGAGGAGGAGGAGGAGGATTAGCTGTACCTGTTAGATGGGTCCACGGGAATAAGAGGCAGGACGCAGCAGAAGCAGGTAAAACTCTTTTATTTGCGTTTTAAGTAAAAAGCCACTCAGCCGCCAGCTTTTGTAGCCAGCGCTAACCAAAGCTTCAGCCACTGATGGGACTTTATTTTTCCCACCAGTGGCTGGACCAATGTGTAGAGTCTGCTAGTCGACTCCACTCTACGGCCATATTTGGTAACACTTAACAGTACCTGTCATCATGCTGCAGTTGTCCTATATTAAAACAAAGACCCGTGGCTTTTTCCCCCCAACAGTTTTATCTACTTTCCTATTTCCCCCCCCCCCCTATTTTCCCCCCCTTCATTTTGGGGGGCTGCCTGCACAGGGGCCTCTAATTGAAATCCCAAAATTTCACTTTTTTTCTGCCACCGGGGCTCAGAGCCAGGTATCCCATCGTGGCCCTGCATTAGGCGAGAGAGCCTTGGTCAAGGCGGCAGAATGGAGACCACTCCCTGCAGGACAAATCAACCATTCAATGATTTTAAATCAGGGCTCCCCACACTTGGCCCCTTTAAGACTGGTGGACTTCAACTCCCAGAATTCCTCAGCCAGCAGAGCTTATTGGCTGAGGATAGCTGGCCGAGGAATTCTGGGAGTTGAAGTCCACCAGTCTCAAAGGGGCCAAGTTTGGGGAGGCCTGATTTAAAACAATTAAAACGTCATTTTAATTTTTGTCGTTCCCATCTCTGTTCCTCCTTTGGCATCCTTTCTTTAATGATTCTATCTCACCCTTTCTTTGATAGCAGCACACAGATAGTCCTCGACTTACGACAGTTCATTTAGCGACTGTTCGAAGTTACGACGGCACTGAGCAAAAAAAGGGACTTAGGACCGTTTTTTGCAGTTATGACATTTGAGGCATCCCCGTGATAAAAATTCAGATGTTTGGCAACTGACTCATACTTATGACCGTCGCTGTGCCCGAAGGTCATGCGATCCCCTTTTGCGACCTTTTGACATGCGAAGTTAACAGGGAAGCCAGATTCACTTAACAGCCAGGCTACTCAATTATCAACTGCAATGTTTCGCCTAACAACCAAGGCAAGAAAGGTCGCAAAATGGGGCAAAATTCACTTAACAAATGTCTTGCTTAAGAACATAAATTTCAGGCTTGATTGTGGTTGTAAGTCAAGGACTACCAGTAACATTTGTCCCACAGCGAGTTGGCTGTGGAGAGTTGGCTGCAATAAGTTGGTCACGATGAGTTTGCCATGGTGAGTTGGCTGTGGTGAGTTGGACAAGGTGAGTTGGACATGATGAGTTGGCTATGACAAGTTGACTGTGGTGAGTTGGTTGCAGTGAGTAGGACTCAGTGAGTTGACCATGGTGAGTTGGCTGCAGTAAGTTTGCTATGGTGAATTGGCTGCAGTCATGGTGAGTTGGCTATGGTGAGTTGGACATGGCGAATTGGACTCAGTGAGTTGACCACAGTGAGTTGGCTGCGGTGAGTAGGACTGAGTGACTTGACCATGGTGAG